TGAAGCCCTTAATTTAATACGTTTGAATTGGAATGCACCAATAGTTACAAGTAGGGGCAACAGAGAAAGAGGGCCTACAATCACCATGCAATATTTAGCAACATAAAATTAAGAATATCTTTTGCTGAGAAGCCAAAGTTCCAGAACACAAATGCCATATCCAGAGTTTTCTATGTTGATGAATCATTATTTATATACAAATATATTAAAAGTATGTACTGAGTTCTCTGTGTGTGTGTGTGTGTGTGTGTGTGTGTGTGTGTGTGTGTGTGTGTGTATCTCCGCCAAAGGCGCATGGAACACTNTTAAAAGCCGAAAAATTCCTTATGTAGATAAGGCACATGGTTCTCTCGCCTCCTCCTGTAGAGGGCACTTTTTTAGAGCCTTATTTAAAAACAGTTAAGCAGAGTCATCTATTGGGGACTCTGGCAGCAGCTAACCCAGCCTGACTTCAGCAGGTCTTGCCTTTTTCTTTTTACATTTTTACATTTTCATCATGGCAGACAAGAGGAGAGTTGAAATCCTCTCTGCTTTTAAAATCTTCCGTTGGTCTAAGGAAGTTTTTCCCCTATAGCAGACACAGCGGCAGGGCAGTAAGGTTTATGGCTGGTGAGGCAAGCGGGCAAAAATTGCCCTATGTTGGACACAGCGGCAGGGCGTTCGGACACCCTGGCACCGTTTCTGTCGTAGAGTGGGACACATCCTGCTCTATGGCAGACATGGTGCTGGGGCTTTAAAGCCCTGCTGCCATGTCCGCCATAGAGGTGGGACACATCCCGCTCTATGTCGGACACAGTGGCAGGGCGGTGAGGTTTATGGCTGGTGAGGCAAGCAGGCAAAAGCCGCCCTATGTCGGACACAGTGGCAGGGCTTTAAAGAGGGACACAGTGGCAGGGCTTTAAAGCCTTGGCGCCATGTCTGCCATAGAGTGGGATGCTTCCTGCTCTATGGTGGACACAGCACCAGGGCGTCCGAACGCCCTGCTGCTGTGTCCGACATAGGGCGGCTTTTGCCCGCTTGCCTCACCAGCCATAAACCTCACCACACGTCACTGCTACAATATTATACACACAGTAGAAGACCTGGCAGCTGGCATGTCAGATAACATCCTAACAAACCTGATATTCCTCTTGGTTTCATAACACTGGTCTTATTTTTTTCCCAGTCTTCACCAATATCAATTCACATTTTAGAGTTTTCCTGTTTAATCCAGTAGTACCTATATAAAACCCATATTGCTTCACCATAACTTTTCTGGGAGAGATCAAATGATCCATTTCAGATGTTACCAGAAGCAAGTGTTGAGTATGCAGATGTAGTATCTCTTGGATCAGTGGCCCACTGATTTCTCTTCTAAATACTGCAATCAAATAATGAGTTTGGACTAGGTCTAAGTTCCTTTTCTTGTTGCCTATTCCCAAACTCTCCATGCTGCTTGCTTTCCAAACACAATGAATTATGGACAAAAAAAAAACACTGCATGACAAGTATTTAAGTAGCATATAAAATTTGAAAATAGAAGAAGATAAAACAGTATCTTTGGCTTCCACCTGTGCTTCAAATAAAAATAAAGAACAATTTTGTAGCATATTTTTTTTCCAAAAACTTGAAGAAGGGAAAATAGTTGTTTGGGAAGGTATTGGAGTTGAAGATTTGAAATTAGATAAATCCAAAAAAGATGGATTACAAAAGTATTTTAATATATGAAGGTGGGGTTCTTGGAGTTCTATGAAGTAGGCGGTTTTCTTGCAGACATTTCTTTACCAAACAAGGTTACCATAATCAGTGCTAGAAGGGAATAGTTTGCTCTTACAAATGGAAGAATGGGCCTTAACATATATTTGGAGATTACAAAATCTAACAAAGAGAAGCTCTATTTTTTTTAACCAGAAATCAGTCATTTTCTAGAACAGGGGTATCAAACTCAATTTCATTGAAGAGTGCATCAGAGTTGTGTTTGACCTTTGAGAGGCAGGGTGACCAGAGCACACTGCCAATGAAAATGGGATCCCAAGCTCCATTTTTGGCTACGATGGCCTTCTGCAACTCTCTGCCAGCAAAAATGGAGCTCGGGAGGGCCGCATTCTGATTGACAGGCTCAGCGTCTTAGCCACTGAGCTACCGTTTCCCTATAGAAACAATACAATGTATTAAATTTATTAAAAATGTTAAGGAAAAAGCAATATATAGTCTAAATTTCACATTATTTCAGCTGGTAAAATTCAAGCTGTGAAGTAATGGGGAAAGAAGTCTTCAGCTTTGAGAAACTGAGAAGGAAGCCAACAACAGCACAATGATTTCAAACCTTCCCCATTCGTGCTCCAACATCCCAACCTGGCAATGGTTCCTTGCTGACTACAACATGCCATAAAGGGAATGGTTGTAAAAGAGAAGAATGCTAATTAGTCTAGCACTGGAGTTTGCATGTAATTATGCATTTCACAAAACTGCTTCTTGTTGATAGAAAAAGGGAATATAGGTAGTGCTCTAATCTGAAATCTTTTGTTTTTTCATTTGCATTTTTTTTTCAAAATCTGAAAAGCTCTCCATAAGACTGACTGTTTTGAGGAACAGAATATGGAAAAAGAAGTAATCGAAGATATTTTGCTTTGCTTCCATTTGTATAATCAATTCAAAGCAAAACAAACAAAAATCAAAAAGATCTCCAACATTACAACAGTTTTAATATTCAAGTCCATTCCAATTGCTTATTCATATTGGAGCACATTATAAGCCATGGCTTTGTCTGTAACTTTTGTTACATTAGCCACTGCCCATACACAAATGTCACTTGATAGCATTAGCCTGTGGTAAATTGCTGGTTCAATAAAGAATGCCGCAACTGTATTCACTGAAAGCAAAACATTAAATTAAATCCACTCGGTTCCATTTCTCTGTGAAATCTGATAGCAGACGCTAAGCACATTCTGAATCAATTCTTAAACACTTTGATGGACTATACAAAGGCAATTAACTTGGCTAAGTTTTTATTGGTCTTTGGAATGAAGAAGAATGGCCCTTCTGGATTGGAAAGCATTTACCCTTGAACGAAAATGACTGTTGGCTTACCTGAATGGTTATTCACTAGGCACTGCGGGAGTGTCCAAGCATGGGTTAACTTCAGCTTGCTGCCCAAGGACTGAGTTCAAATCTTTGTGTAGCCACGCCTCCTGTTCACCACAGAGGCTCAGTTTTAAAAATGAAGTTATCTGATCCAAAGGTTGCTGTATGGAAAAGTCCGTGTCTTATAGGTGCTAAGTCCTGCACCCACACAAGAAAAACCCCAGGGGGGAGTTGGACACTCCTGCAGCACCTAGAGAATGACCATTCAGGTAAGGCAACCATCATTCTCCTAGGCGCTGCTTGGAGTATCCAAGCAGGGGAAATACCCAAGCTATGTGGTCCCAGGGTGGGAAGAAGGAATGTTCTGATTAACAGGGCCCGCAAAGACTTGCTGTAAGACCCTCCTTCCGAATGAAGCCTCAGCTGAGGCAAAGGTGTCCAGTCTGTAATTTTGAATGAATGGAGATGGTGAGGACCAAGTGGCCGTCCGACAGATCTCCTCAATAGGTGCTTGAGTGGCCNAGACCTCCAAGGTCCCTTCCAGCTCATTCATTCTAAAATAATAATGTGTATACAGGAAGCAAACTCCAGTCCCTTTTAGGACTGATAATATTACCTAGTTGCAAGAAAACCACCAAGCTCAGATAGCACCAAGGACCCCACAGTCCTCCCCTCCTCTGTGCCACACACCCCACTCCCTTCAAGCACTGTGTTACCTAGTTGGGTCATGAATTGTCTGCAAGAAAATCACTCAGCTCAGAAAGTAACAAAGGCCCCACAATTCAAGCCTAAACTGCAAATATTCTATTGGTTGACACTCCTGGTTCAGTGGGCATTGGTTGGTGGCCATGGTTTGGTGGGTGTGGCAGGGGAAGGATACTGCAAAATCTCCATTCCCTCCACACTCTGGGGCCAGCCAAAGGTGGTATTTGCCGGTTCTCTGAACTGCTCAAAATTTCTGCTACTGGTTCTCCAGAACCTGCTGAATTTCACCCCTGGTTGGCACTCTACTCTGCGATTATCCGGAGCTTTCACATCAGTCTCTCTTTTGCGCAGGTTATCGCAAGCAGCATGCTTATGATCGGCATCCTTGCCATCCATGATAGGAAGAATGCCGGAGCCCTCCCGGGCACCAATGTCTTCATCACTGGGCTGTTGGTGGTGCTCATTGGCATGTCTATGGGGATGAACACCGGCTATGCCATCAACCCTTCCAGGGACCTGCCTCCCCGGATTTTCACTGCCCTCGCGGGATAGGGCTTAAAGGTGTTTCGGTGAGTTGGTGGACCTGATTTAGTTTACCGATGAGAAGGACTATGTCACTGACTTCAAAGTTGACACACGTGGACTTCAATTCCCATAATTCCCATTAGCTATGCTGGGCTTGGGAATGCTGGGAGTTCAAGTGGCAAAGATTGAGGCAACCTCAAGGTTGAGGTACATATGTGGACTTCAACTCCCAGAATTCCTCAGTCAGCCATGTTGGGCAGGGAATTCTGGGAGTTGAAGTCCACACATCAAGTGGCCAAAATTGAGGTATGTTGGCTTAGGGTCAACTGCTAATCTGGGCCCCCTTTCTCCTTCAAAGCAGGCAACTGCTGGTGGTGGGTACCAATGTCGGCCCTGACGCTAGGATGCCTCCTTGGGATATTCATCTACAACATCCTGATCGACTTCCACAATTGCCCCTCGTCGGATCCAGAACCTTCGAAGCAAGACCCGGAGGCCGAGTTGTCTCCCATTTGACCAGACAGGGCTGTTTTGAGAGGATGATGGTTTTGGGGACACCTGAACATGTTTTCCTCCCTAGTCTTCAAGGAAGAGAATACAGGACATCTTTTTGGGAGGACCGGGAGGAGAAAGATGGAGTCCATCAACTCCTAGGGAGGCTGCACTAGGGAGTGGCCACCTTGTTTGACGTAGAGACATCTGCCCACCTAGAAGACCTGCAGACCAGCTTTGACCAGGGATGGAAACTAGACGTTAAAGAGACTTAGTAAAAAAAAAAAAATCTACTTGGTAAAATTAGTGGTGGAGACAAGAACGGGCACCCATGTTCCATGGAGAATCCATCCCTATTCATTTCTGGTCAGAAACCAGTCGAGATCCTCATCACTTTTAACAGAGTTGGAAGGGACCTTGCAGATCATCAAGTCCAACCCCCTTGCCCAAGCAGGAGACCCTACATCTGCCTCTACCTAGGATTGAACACACAACCTCCTGATTGTGAGGCGAGGGCTTCACCTCCATGCCGCATCTTTGGAACCCAGGGTTGCTTCGGGCCAGCAGGGT